CGACAGATACGGAAAAGTCAGCATTCTGTAAAAGCCCAAAAGAATTTTAAATCCAAAATGTGAGATAAACCGTCTTATTAAATGTTACACAAATACTTGCTTCTCCCTTTTATTCCAATCAGATGATAAATATTAAGAGACCAGGCTTATTATTTGCATCTTTCAATATGCATTCTACGACTTAAACATCTACAACCTTAGAATCAAACTTGGTCTGTCACTGTGAATGCCCTGCAACAGCAAACCTTGGCACTGTATCTCCGTTTCCTAATCCTACATCCTAGGTGGCAGGAAAAGCCACAACTCTATCCAGGTATTTTCAGGTGCAACAAATTGTATTGTATTATAGAGCAAGTATGAGGAAGGACTCTCTCGCTAACTGGTTTCTTGTACTTGTACTGATATTAATAGTTATCATATGCTGAGTACTTATTATGTACTGCTCGAAGCACTTGTTCCTCTCAACAATCTCATAAGGTCAATACTATTTTATCATCCCCACTTCAGAGGTAAGTACACTGGGGAATCAAAAGGTTAAGTAACTTGTGCCAAGTCAGACACCTGGCAAGCCTGGCTACAGTGACCTCACTCTTAAGCACTATTCTGCACCGCTGCGTTGCACGAAAGCTCATTTTTACTATGTGCAACAGTATTTTTTCTGTCGTGAAAACTGTCAATTTCCTCTAAACCGTTCAATACCTGACCATACAGGAAAGCTGATGAAAAATTAAAAGGCTTGCTTTAAATCGCCTAGATAATAATTACTTCAAGTGCAAATAATTTATCTGAATTTTTACACAAGAAAAAATTCTATGGGAAAATATGTTGAATTCCCTGATATTTTAACAATTGTGTTAAATTGTTACGTGTTGCTGTTTTCTTACTTATTCTCAGACTTATGTATTACTACCTGAAAAAAACTGGCACCTACACCTACTTGTGCTGCGTATATTTAAGATTACTAAAATGCTCAGGAAAATCCTGGTTTTGTTTTCCCTAACAAGGTAAATAATACGTGACATCTTCAGCTGAGGTCACCTGCAGCAGTTTGAAACACTGAGCTCATTACCTATTTGGCAGAATGCTCTCCAAGTCAGCCATTTATGGTTATACTGTGAGCACCAAAAAGACACACGTGAACAAAAGAGAAGGGGGGCTTTTGTTCCTTCAGTTTTTTAGTAAAAGCCAACTTCCAGTATTCCAGCTGCCTCTCCTTATCCTCTTAAGGTGCTTTCCTTCAGATCCTGAGCTTCTCTGAACAAGGGACAGGGTAGTGTTGAATGGGATAGTTTTTCTTGTTGTTTTTCAATAGGTATAAAAGATTTTTTAAAAGTCAGTGACTGAATCAAGACTACAGTAATCCCTCAATGTATTTCTCCTCAACATCCAATGACACAGGTAAGAATAAGTGACAGTCAGTGGTGTATATGCTTCACAATATGGTCAAACAAGACCGCTTTAACTCGTCAAATTAATATTTACATTTTCAACACCTTGCATGCTATCAGAGTGAGCTGAAAAACAGTTCTTCCAACGGTGACAGAAAATAGGAAAGCAGAATCTAGAACTCCTTTGAAATCCTTAATTAGTCTAAATTAAAACCCCTCATTCCAGAATTATATTATTAAATATAGAAGATGAAGAATACTGTCTTCTCTAGTCAGGAACATTTTTTAACTTTTCAGATGATTAACACTTTTTCAAATTAATTTTTCACCTTCAAAATGCATCAGACAACTTACTTCAAGGACTAACAGTCATCCACCAATGACATGAAAAAGAGATCCTAAACTTTTTGGATTATTAACACAGACAATGAAATCTGCTGCAATCCTGCTATTTCTTCTCCATTAGTACATAATAAATTAATGTAGCTTTTCTTTTGTTCTTTTCTAAGCAACAAAATTTTATGATATGATGAACAAGTCTTTAATTACTTTATAGCCAATGTGACAAGGATTTCCCCCGTAGAAATACTGGTAATTACAACATAAAAGGAAGCAACCATAAAAAAGGGTATTAAAAATTTACACAAGATCAGTCAAGTAAAATGGCAATTTAATTTCCTCCTAGTGCAGGTTTTTAAAGGCAAGCACGTTGCTTCTTCACATTAAAAATTTTAGATTTAAAAAGTGGCTCTGGAAACTACACTATTTATCTAGAAAAGAAAAGTTTAATTCTTAACTTCTACTCGGACAAAACCAACCAGAAAGAAATGATATACGAATGTAAATGCAATTTTATTTACCACTTTGATGCTCCAAATGGCACTGCCAGGAAGCTGCCTGGGTTTAAAAATTTCCCGGCCTTCTGAAATGTCTGGGGACCAGGAAGGTGGGCTCACTGTATTATGGGTACTCCAAGCCCCCTAGGATACGGCAGGTGAGAAAATAGATGTATAAAACTCCGCAACATAAAAGGTCAAAGCCAGCAACTAAGGAATTTTAGAACAGCAAAAACAAATGCAGACGTATGGAAATTTAGGACAGATTGCTTCAAGGTAGTAAGGAAAATAAGCTTATCACTTACAGTGACTTTATACTTAAATGTTTGTAGCTACAATTTACATTAAATGTTTTATTCTGGTTGAAACATCAGTACAATGAAACGTAATAAAAATTAAGGTTTACGTGACATCAACATTGACTCATGAACTGCAATTACGGCACCAAGATATAAATAAATGTCAATCAAACTTTAAGAATTAAAACTGTAAGAAACTACTTGGGGATTATTTTCTTCTAACAACTATCACTCTACCAGAAAGGAGAAAATAATAAAGAATGTTATGTATACTTCTTGCTATAAAACCACCAAAACAGTAGAGGCCAAAAATGCAGTCAGAAACATGAGCAACCAACAGACACATTCACTTGAAAATCTGGAAAAAGCTGGTTTGTAGCCATAAGATGCAAATACCATTATAACCCTAACATTTAATTACTCTTCCTTCAGTGACCATTAGTTGTGGGTTTTGATTTTTATTTTTATTTAGGGGACTACTACACTTGGATTATATCCAAGGAACTAATTTTGAAAAGTAGAAAAATGTTAAAGCAAATTGTCCTAAATTTGCAAATTAAAATGCCTGATATATCTGATTATTTATATGAGAAACAGTACTTAGTAAAATAGTTAAGATAAAACTAAAACATTTTGCTTCCAGATAACCCCATTCAGCAATAACCTGAACTAATCTGATGAAGATGCTAATAAGCAGCATAAAGAAAAACCTTTAATCCACAAAGATAACATTTTAAACACAAATGTCAAACAATACAGAACCTATTTGGAATTAGATAATTCAGCAAAGCATGCTATAATTTTACCAATTGAATGATCAAAACTAAAGACAAGAAACACAGTACTTACCAGGTTTCTAGAACACTAACTAACAAGTAGTAGCCTATTAATCCCATTAAAATACCGCCAGGGAACTTAAATAACTAGAAGTAAGAACCTGACTATCCTTTGGGGAGAAGATAGTTAATGAAATAACAGTCTTTCGAGAAAGACCACACAGGGAGACTGGTTTCACTTTAATTAACCTACCCTCCCCTCAGCTAACAGCCAGGCTGATTTCACCTGACAAATGCTTTCCCACTAACAGATCACCTTGCGCCTATGTCCACACGTGTCTTCTTTCCTACTGTGTCCAGGGCCTTCTGTAACCTCTGCGCTGACAAAAGCAATTTCTCTATTGTCATTTCACTGTCAACATCTACTTACAGTTCTGCTGGGCTCTGTGCAGCACATCAGTGAATGTTTCTCTGCCCTCCTTCACTGACCCTTCTCAGCCTCCCACGTGAGTTCTTCCTCCACTTGACCTCTAAAGCCCCACTGTTTCCCAGGGCGGAAGCCTGGACCACTCTCCTCTGTGTAGTCTTGTCCTAAATGATCTTATCTACAATGAGGGCTGTAAACACCATCTTGAATGTCGCTGTTCCCCAAATTCACATTTCTAGCTCTAACATGTTCTGAGAGCTCCAAGTTATTATGATTTTCAACTTCCTTCTTAGCACTTCCATTTTGTCGCACAAAACCTCTCCAGTTTACTACGTCTAAAATCTCTCCCTTAACGAGTTCCAACTCACAACTTTTCCCAATCTTTAGAAATGGATCCCAGTCCAAGTCAGAGAACTGGGAGTCGTCAGACCCGTTCTCTGCTCTCATCACTCTCCTCTGCCCCTTCAATCCTCTCCCTCACCACTCCTTTGATCCAAACCATCGGTAAATTCAGCACATTCTCTCTTCAAGTTCTGTCTCTGGTCATTGTTTCTCTGCACTCCCACGGCCGGCACCGCCTCTCAGCTAGGCTGCTGCAAAGGTCTACTTCTCTTACCTGCACCTCCTCAAGCCTTTCCCCACACAGCAGCCAGAGGGACTCCTAACAAATGTAAATGTGACCAAGCAAGACTCTCCTGCCCTGTTCCAAACCCTCTGATAGCTCTGCAGTGACACTTAAAACCCCAACCTTTCCTACTGCCTCTCCTCAGTTGCATCTTGTGGCATCTCTCACCGTCGATATGCCCTAGCTACCCTGGCTTCCCTTCCATCCTTCACACACGCTGAGCTCTTCAACAGTGGGGACCTACTGACTCAGAACTACACCACCTGTCCACTGGTTGGTGTCTCCAGAATCTTCAGGTAAGGCCTTAAATACTTCCTCCTCGAAGAGGCCTTCCCAGGCACTCCAAGTGAACCATGTGTCCTTTACAACACCTTTAGCATCTGCATACTGAACACAATATGGGGTCATCTGTTCTACTGTTTATCAGTATTTAGTGGTAGAGAGTGAGAGCAAGAGATATCTAAACCCGGTTCCCTCAACGTTTCCACGCAGTGTTTTTCTCTGAGGATATCTGGCTAGTGTACATATTAAATTCCTTTTGGTAGATCGTTTAATGGTATATCAATAGATAGTCCTTAAAGTATACCATAAAAAGTCATATTCTAAAATAATATTTATTCATAATTTATAAGTTAGCTTTGATGCCAAAATTCTATCTCATTTCAAAAAGCATTCACACTTCATATAACATGGATGAGCAAAATGAAGGGCTCTATAGATTAAGAATGTTTAGATGCTATTTCAGGGATAATTCGACAACCGTTCAACTGCTATGAAAAACTTACATGATAAAAGCTTGGGTAATTACATTATAAATTTTAATAAGTATGTTATTGTAAGGCATTGGAAGGTAGAGCACGTGCAATTTTATAGGAAATGAAGAAAATTATGATTACACTTAGACATTTTCACAAAGAAGAAATTACCTAATATATTCTTTAGACCTTAAAACTAAAATACTGATGTAATTATCAACTGTAGTTATAAATTACCCTTCAGATCTCAGCTTTGATTGAAAAGAATTCACACAGACCATTCAGAAGAGGTTAGCTTCCCCATCTACTGTAACATGGTTTACACTGTTGGTACACTTGGTTTTACTTTACCACACTCGTATTTATCTATTGCCACTGGAGTATAAGCTTGATGGCAGACACTCTGCTCTTTTCGTTCACTGCTATGTTAAGTGAGCCTTCTGTTCAGCACTTATTGAATGTCTACTTTTTCTACTGAGCATTTTTGCATGCATGTATTCATAAATGCATCAATAAACACTGTACTGTGATATGAAACACACTAATTCCATCAGTTGTAGCCTAGAATCTTGGACTTCTTCACCTATTAAAAAACTACCAACCTATTCCACGCACACTCTTAAACTATCATCTACAAACTGGGTTAAAAAATGTAACCATCAGGAGAATTTAAGATACAAAGAGTGCTAAACAGAACCAACTTATTCTCAAATGCCACAGAAACTTTAAAAATACTATTTGGCAGAGACTGAATTCGATTCCAACAATAATTATTACTGTTTAAAGTTGGTATTCAGTTTTCTGCTTTGAGGCCAATTTATCAACCTAGTAAAATTACAAAGCTGTTACAAGGACTGTGGGAATAGGGAAATGGGACAATAATGGCAGGTGGAGGGTAGGCTAATATGGGCAACTTTCTATTAGAAGTCAAACCCTGTTGCTGGCTGTTAAATATGATCAATGTCATGATTAGGGCCCACGAGTATCCAATTCTACTGAATCAGTTTAAAGCGTGGCCAGAGAAGGTCAGCTATGTCTCCTGGGAAGATTCACACCGCCAAGTCCTAAGTCCACCCTCTCCTTACACACTGTGCAAGACCAAGATTGCTATTACTGCGTGAGTTTGATTTAGAGAAAGCGAAAACAGTGAAACGAGAGTAGAAAGGAGGACAATTAGTAAGAGAAACTGAAAACACAAGCATTTATAGTTTGTCTTTTTGGTACACACATTCACTCATGTACATTACAGCTATCGTAGCAAACAATTCATTTTTGTATGACTTACAGAATTCTTTTAACATAAATAAGTCATATACAAAACTGAGTCCAACATCAAACAGAACAAGAAATTTAGTCCTGAGAGTGATTTGATAAGAGATAAACTATATACGTACAGAAATAGCTGTTGCCAGCTTTAGCCCTCAGTAATTTAAGAAAGTGTATTTGGCTGGTGCTAGCAATCGTTTTAGTAATGGCTTAAAAAATGTAACAGGCACAAGAAAACTAAGAGGGATGTACGATACTTCTGATCTGTATGTGTTGTAGGTTGACACCCCAAAGGCTAGACATTTTTTTAGGATGAAAACTACAGTTTCTCAATGGTTTAGAGCAGTGCTTCTTGGACTTCAGGCTGCATGGGGATCTTCTTAAAATAGACATGTTCACTCAGGTTAAGGTGGGGGCCTGAGATTCAGTGTAACAGGTGATATTGATATTCCTGGTCTGCAGGTCACATTTTGAGTAGCAATGGTTTAGTCATTTCTCCCAGAAAACATGCCTAAGCCTGTAAGCCTGAGTAGAGTTTTTCCTCTTGCCCTCTCTGCTTTCCCACAGTACCCTGTGGTTTCCTCTACTGCAGCCTCTATCACACACAGAATAATTAAATAGGCAGTTTAGTTCTAAAATCTGCGCAACCACTATGTGGCACTGAACTTGAAAACCTACTACATCTTGTATTTACTGTGGCCAGTGTTTGACTTGGTCGGGCCTGCACTTATTTTCACTGGCACATTTCCTTAGAAATAGTTATGAGTCAACATGATGGGTTTCAGGACCACCACTCCACAGCCAAATTTAACACATGGACATTACATCCTTCTCAAGTCTCCATTTTCACATAATATCTGCATTATCCTGCAAATCAAGAAAGCAAGCAGGGCAGCACTACCGTTTGCTATGTGTCAGGGGGGTTATAGGTGTTATCGTTAAATTCTAACAACCATGTGATGTAGTTTTATGGATGAAGAAACCAAGAGAGTTCACATGGTAACTTGCTTGGTGTCCCACAGACAGTAATGGAAGAATAAGGCTTTGAAGCCAAACAACTGCACTACGGAAATATTCATGCTGAATTTATATTAATCAATCTTTCCCAGGATCAATTAATTACATTACAAATATATATATAAATAATACAAAAAAGGCTTCTTAAAAGTCACTTTTATAAAATGCCACATAGTATTTAGACTAGAAGGTATGTGGGAAAATCACTGTTGGCATCTACTCTACAGTAGGTAAATTTACCTATACAGTAGTATAGGTAAATAGAGAATATTTACCTATCTACTAATGCAACCTTTTTTGACGGGTTCTAAGACAAAGCATCAGTATGCAGGTTTACCTCCTAGGTATCCAGGAATAGACAATTACAACTACTAGAGTAATTTCCTTTAACAGGTATCATTATGTATACATTACATAAAGCAGTTCTTCAAAATTCAAATTTATTTTAGTTAAAAGCTGGATATGAAATAATTTATCAAGAACAGAATCTCTCTTTATTTGGATGATATGATTCACCGATCTGCCTTTTTTAACTTTAAAAGCAAAAACCAACCAACCCCCCAAAAATGCCAACAGTGCTTCTTACTAAAAGGTTTACGTCTAGAAACCAGAAACGGAAGAGAGAGAAGAGAGGGAGGCAGGGAGGGAGGGACTCTGCTTACTTGTAATTAATTGTTAACAAAACTATAACCCTCTACAGCTCACCACTGGAGGCCTGTTTTGCTCTCACAGGAGCAGATTATGAAACTGATATGTTAATTCGAGACACTTCATTTAAAATGCTATTGCAATATACAAGTATGTTATAAAATTCTAGGGTTCTTAATAAACTACTTAAACTGATGAAAAGTAAGGAATTCAGTTCACAACGTAATGGCAAAGTGGTTATAACCTAATGCAGTACTACTTCTGGAAACCTACTCTGCTGGAGACAGCATCTCACCTTCTCTATGAGAACCTCTCAACAGGTGTCAGTCTTAGAACTTATGTAAATTCCTAAGCTCTCCACATACATGATGTTAACAACAACAACAAAAAAGGTGGAAAGGTAAAATGAAGAAAAAAATTCTTAGCATTTGAAAGTTATCAAAATATATTTAAGAGTACTTATGTTTTCTCTATGAAATTTTCTTTAAATATTTAAGAATACTTCAAGAAAATGTTTCTAAGAAAACATATTTCATAGAAGATTTAACAAAAACTTTCAATATTATCATGAGAGCAATTAGTACATGAGTGTCTGAAGCAGGTCACAGTCATGTGATTTCATTAAATATTTTCCCATAAAATAAGATGATACAAATAAGGTACCTTGTTCTATCCAATGCATAGTCGCCACAAAAGCAAAGCAGTGTATCAACAAGCTTTCTGAACCACCAAGTGAAGGTTGTTTCCTATACAACTAAAACAAACCTGGGAGGTAGAACATGGCCTACAGCTGCTTGTGAGATTAGCAGCAAACTGTGAGGTAGTAATCAGACAGTAGCAGCTAAATAGAAAGGCGAACACTACCACAGCCGGAAGAGGACACAGCAGAAGCAGTAACAGTAACAAATATTAAGACACGGCTCATGTAAAATGGGATGAACTTGGAAGAAAAAAAATATATGCACATACACACTCTCACACACATACAAAAATACCCACACTATTTTGGAACATAGGTCAACAGAAAAATAATCGTAATGGCTTCTCAGTTGGAGCAGAAGCCTCTAAATAAGGAGAGACACCAGTAAAATTTAACAGGAATATTTATGATGCAATATCCTTAAAGAATGTAAATGTCTGAACCAAAATTAAATTTGAGATTCAAATTTCCAGTGCTAAAGTCTTTTCAGAGCCAAAACTACACAATTAGTATATGCTATTCAAAAAAAGAAAAGGAAAATAAAAGAAAAAAATAAGGATGAAGAGAACTAGTTTGAGAAGAAAAATCTCTTAGTAGAATAGAAAATAAATATCAAGTAGGAGACTAATTTTCACATTAAAATAAAGTTTGATTTAACTTTTTTTACTGGTGTCACAATCTCAAAATTAGATGATCAAGATCAAGATATTATTATTCCTATAAAAAGTTAAACTTTAATCACTGAAAGCAATTTAAATCATGAGACTTAAAACTCCAAACTATTATTGACTAAACACTTTTGCACTGTTTGATATCTTGCTATTTTATGAAAAACTTCAGAAAGTAGAAATTTTGTAGAACACATAATTCTTAGCTATAGTATCTTCACTTTGCTTTGTAGTTTCACTCAAATCCCACTGAAAAAGATGTGGAACTTACCCTTACAGGGTAGAGTTCACATTCACACAACTTAGAGCAATCATGGGAAAAACTCCCTTCATTTCCTGAAGATCAACAATATAATCCTAAAATTTTGTTCACAAAACCACTGAAGTAAGTCCTAACTTTAAAAAAATTCCCACAAAAAGTTAGCAATCAATAGAAAAACCAAAATGAGAAATCCCCCTGCATGAAAAATACTCCAGGTAAATTCTGATGCTTAAGCAGTTAAAAATATGTACAATGAATAATATCAATAAACAAATATATTTGAGGGGAAAAATGTTAATTACACTATACCCAAAACCTTACTTTTTTTTTAAGTCTCTGCTGTTACTATGGCATAGAACTAAAAACTTCTTTAAAGTGTTTTCTATTAGAAACTATAATCAAAGAGGTTGCACTTAAATTCCAATAAGATCACTTCAAGTTTAATAAACTAGTCTTCATTAAGTGTGTTTTTTTAAGTGGCCAAAACACATAAGTCAACATTACATCTACATTCCACCTAAACGGGAAAACCTGCCCTCCAAACCAAAGCTACACATACACTTTTTTTACTTTATAGAATCACTCCAACATCTTTTCTATCAACATCATTAAAATCACCATACCTGTCTGGACCGAGGTCTACCAGGAGAAAATTTCCTTTTGGTAATAGCTGGTTTACCCATGCCAATTTTGGGGGTGACTGAGATGTAAGTTGTTGGCATGACGTTTCCAGCAGAAGCACTGGGAGTCGACGGGTAACCATGCAGCATGTCGTGGGAAGGCAAGTCGGAAGAAAGTGCTGGAGAGGAAGACGCATTTGCCTTGCTCATGCCCGCTGCTGATGAAAATGATGACTCTGTCTCAGATGGTAATTTTACAGATTTGCTTTCTTGGCATACACCATCTTTCACACAACTCTCAACTGCAGGAGCCACTTCGAAGTCCATAAATGCAGTAGAAGGTTCAGGATTTTCTTTCTGTTCCATTTCTTCTGGTACCCTTTCTATGGCCAACTGTTCCTTAGAACATAAAGCCGTACCTTCCCCACCCGGGGACGGGACGGTGACAGATTCAATGTTGACTCCTGGAGGCCGGGATTCTTCTGGGGACGCCGCCATGTTAGGTCCCTCCAACACGTGCACTTCCCCCTGCTGCACAGCAACCTGGGGGTCAAGGGCTTCAGCGCTGTCTGTCACCTCCATTTTGTTCTCATTTTGATCGGCACCGCAAGTGTGCATCACTTTAGGAGGCATTTCCATTTCTTCACTATCAACTTCACGAGAAATCTGATTTTCCAATTCAGGATTCATTTTATCTTGGGATGATTCTATAAAATTTCGAATATCTATTATGTTAATGTACCTATGAATTTTAAAATTTCTAACTATGATTAGGTATAAAACATTAATGTCTTACATGTCTGTACCTCTTTGGTTTAAAAATAATAGGCTTGGGTAGAAAAAAAACGTTAGCGGGGGGGATCCAAAACATACTTTTGCTTAAAACCATGCCTTAAGTCAGAAGGTATTCATCAAGAAAGGCAATAAGGCAATTATCAAGTTTAGTAAAGGTCAAAAGAGAGCAGGGTTTATGGATTAGAATCAGTCACCGATCAGACCAGAAAACCTACAAGAACACTACCTTAACGGGATCCCCAGAGTTTAAGGTAATTTCTGGTAAGAATATTAAAATAGAATTAATTTCTAATATAACCATTATATATGATGTTTTACAGTTTGGTCACTTACAAGAGGATTTAAATTTTTGTAGGTGAAGTTATACTCATTTTACAACTAGGAAAATGAGGCTCAGTGATATTACATGATGTGTCCAAATTAAAAAAGATTAGTCTAGAATAAAAAGAATTTTGCAATAAGCCGACACAAGATGTAACAAAAGCTTCTGTAGACTCAAATAAGTAATGACCATAGATAGAAAAGACTTATTTCGCTTAGTCATACATGCTAACACAATCAATACATTTTTTTGGATATAATTCTTGTTCTTCCTCATCATCTATAACCAGAGACTTATCTTAGAAAATCAATAAAAATAATTAGATATCAGAAGTATCTATAGTCACTGACTACTAAATTTTAAATCAGGATACTAGTAAGTTAAACCTTTAACCCAATATTACTTAAGAGTAAGGTTAGAGGTCCAATTGACATGGGCCCTAAGTGGCTCTATTTAGACCACTGATGATAAAAAGCACTTATTTCAAATGCCATCAAGGCAATTTCTTACATACATTAATAAAGACACTAATTTCCTTATTTACTATTTACCACAGTGATTGAAATTTATGTATGTTCTTATATCAAAATGAAATCTCACTTCTCACTCCTGCTTTATTGAAAGACTATAGTTGAAAAGGAAAAAAAATCAAATAACAGATCTGATCATACTAAATATTTTTAAACACAAAGGTACTTCAAAAATACTTTAACATTTTAAAAGTAATAAAAAATGGACTTTTAAAACAGAAAATACATATAAATGAAGTGAACATTTATGGTTTAAAACCAAAAGTATCACCATTTGAGTGACTCAAGTAAAACAATCTTAATGCTATATGATGCCTAAATTATGTGCTCATAAGAGTAGACCTCAAGTCTCACTGGCAAAGAGGAACGTTTGCAATACACACTCAGAACACGAGGATGTTCTTTCTCCTCTGTGCTAGGCAGGAAGGATTAAGATAAAAGCGCAAACATGCTCTATTTCTGCCTTAGAAACCCACTGCCAATGGTTTTCCAGAAAAGGATCACCTAACCACAGACTGCACTACCGTCATGTGAGTATAGCAATAGTAAACAATTCATCTCTAATTTGAAAAGTCACCTTAGCAGACTATGACTCGAATTGCATAGCAACCATAAAGGCATTATGCTATAAAACAATCAAATTAGACAATATGAACATGTTGCCTACCAGCAATGAGAAGTCCACGCATGTCATGACTTTCCGGCGGATCACTCCTCTGCTGCTCTCCAGTATGGATGTGAGCTGCTGTGAATAACACACTTATGGAATCTCCAGCAAGGAGTCCAAACTCCTCTAACACTGCCTTCTCAACAGTAATTTGAGTAAGATATTTATCCTTCTGCCAAATTCCAATTTCAAATATAAGCATAAAACATCCTGTTACTATTCATTTGTTAAGTAGGATATGGAAATGAAACTGGATATGGAAGGAATCTGATTATGTACTATAAGATTATTATATAGTTTTGTCTTATTTTTCTTCACTTTATATCTTTATGAAATATAATTTTTAATGAGAGTTGTTAAATATAAACTTAACCTCAAAATATCTCAAGGGCTTTTTATGTATACATTCAAGCTATATAGCACAGTATCACATACAGTCCCACAGACTTTGAGGTGAGACCAAGATTAAATTTAATAAGTAGTTTTCCCCAAACCTGGTCTCTCATTAATTCCAGATCCTCAAGTACAATAATAGCTATTACCAATAATGCAAAAAGCTTAACTGAAATATCATTGAAATAACCCTCAACAGGACTGCTTACATGATCTAAAACAATGAATTTTTCATTATCTCAGCATGAAACATCTCACAATCAGCAACAGCTCTAGTTAGTAATTACAAAGATAACTAAAGAAAGAAATTGCTTTTTAATGAAAATCACTTGATCCCTAAACAAAGTATATATTTATGAGTAAGTCTAGATTACAGCTGAACTATCAATACAGTATATACATGCCCTTTCCCCGATTAATTTCTGTCTAAGTTTATTTTATTTAAAAAGGCTCCTCTCTAAATAACTTCGTACATGACTATGTCTCAGCTTATTTTTATCTAGGGTACTAAAGTTGCAGATGTTCACATATTCACTCTACACACGCATTTTATTCAGAGAACAGACTGTCCATCACCAAAAACACCCTTACCATCTGGAACAGTCCCAGGCGCGGGCTGCTGGCCACCGACGTCTGTATTAGCCGCGTGCTCCAGAAGTACCATGTGGTCCTCAGGGCCTTCAACTTCCATTTCATTGTTACAATCTTAACAGAAAATTATTTATTCTTTAGCTCAGAATGAGTTCTTCTGTTTTTGTTAACTAAGTCAACAACTATCACCTTGTTCTAATGGAGGTAAATTATCCCTGAAAATGCCATAAATTCTTCTTCAGATTTTTCTATTTGGAACCAAATATATATTTACATTTTTCAAATATGGAAAACATAATGAATTAAAAAGTAACTAGAATTTTATTATTTTGAAAGGATACTGCACAAGTGTATACTGATGGCATACTAGAAACAAAATGTTAGTAACAAAGATGTGTCTACTTAAACCCCTTACAGATGATAAAATAGAACTTTTATAGACTTTGCCATTCATACTGATGAAGAACGATCTGATTAGCAGGTCTGTTCCCTTTATGATCTAAGAATCTTGTTATTATGTTTATAACCCAATGGTGTACTAATAAAACTACATGAACAAAATTTAATAAAACTAAAATTTGTTTGGAGTAAAATAACCCAGAGTATGAAGTGCAAACTAGGTCATAGAGCCAAACAGTAAGGAACTTCCACTGTTGGCCCAAAAAACACAATTGTAGGAGCGTACGATAGTCCTGGAATTCAAATATTGGGCGAACAGTTGTAAAGAAGCTAGATTAGATGTTAACCATCAGATTCAGAGATGACCAAGATCATAGGTACAGAAGCTAAAAATAAGATGGGATCTGATACACAGGATTCCGTCACTGTTACTAAAGTAATATACTGCTGACTGGTTGGCACAGCATCCTAAAAAACAAAAACTCTCAAATTTACCTGTAGTGAGTTCAGCCATCTCCACTTCATCACCTGGCTGTAATGGATCCATCTCAGCTAAGTGTTTGCAATACATACAGATGTACTCTTCTTTGAGCTGAGAATCCAGTTCATGATCTGTCGGTTTGTCACATTCTAAGTGAACCCATCTGTGACGATAAATATATTTAAATAAAATTTTCTAATTTAAAGTCAAATTAATATTTAGGGAAAAGAAAGGTAATTGCTGAAAAACTGGATATAGGAAGGGGTAAGGATGGAAGAAGAGGTAATAGGGGTTAGCAATTGAAGGTTCTAGAAAAGAAGTTGGCATTTTTGGATGTCATCACAGGTGTTAACCTTTTTTAAACACATTTTAAACTATTTACTCTTTACTTTTCCCTCTTAATGCTTGTTTCTGGTCTTGTCTTATTTTTTGCCCACTTACATCATTATGCCTTTCAGACTCATAAAAACATACTTTAATTCCATCTATAATGGCACTCAGTATTGAAAGGATTACTGGAATGACAAAAGCTTGGATCTCAAAATACATGGCAGAGCAGATGATCACATGGACAGAAGAACTGACAAACAAATGGAATAACTATATCTTCTTACCTTTTGCACATATTACAATGAAGCATGTCTTTCTGCAATTCTGGATGGTAGCACTTCCCACAGAAAGGACATAAGTTATCCTGCTGTTGGTAACAACTGTCACATACCAGGCAATTGTGGTGCCACTGAGAACTAGATCGTGTGCCACACTCGACACATATTCTGCAATTCTAAACACCAGGAAAAATGAAAACAGAAACAGTTTGCTATGCATTTGTACTGCAGTTCTGGTGTAAACCTTTTCTAAAAAATCAGTGAAACATTTGTAGATTATATATTAAGCTTTAATTTTTATGGCACTAATTTAGGGTGTATGTTTTTGAAAAAGAAGTTTGTTTTGAACATCTGATGAGATATCACTCAGTTTACACTGAAACCTCCTGGAAAGTGTAAATAGTGGATAGAGACATCCAAGAAAACATAAATAGGGAAGGAAGAAAACCAAGAACGTAGCAATCCAAACTTCAAAAAAAGGAAACACATTCCAGAATCAGGAAGTAGCTTGCGTTGAGTAAGTCTACTCAAATCACTACTCTGAAAGCAAAATGGTCCTGCTAGGGAATTCTGTTTGTTTATGGGTAGCTTAGAAACTAAAAACAAGAATTCACACTAAGGAAATATAACCCACTCCAAATGATTAGGTGTCTGAAATTGTGAAAATAACCACTCAACATCAAAATCCAATTATGGCTTCTCATATTCTCAGAACAGAGAGGCACTACCGTTAGCAAAGTAGAACTGCTGATGTTCAAGGCCTGGAAGAGGCCAGCCAAACCTCCTTCTGCGCCTCTGAGCTAGGCTGCCTTAAAATCCTGGGCACAAGGCTGACAAATTGTGGGACTCTCATTACCCACCCACCCCCAACTTTGCAATCTAAAGCACCAATAAAAAAGGAACTTTATCTTTTTGAGCTGCTGGTATCTTTTGATACAAAAGAGATGCTCCCTGAAAAAGAGAAACTAGCATGAACCACAGATCTGCTAAAGTCTTACAGATTTAAAATGGAGGTACCCGTAAATACTGATGACAAAATCCTAAGTAAAATGTTAGCAAACAGACTCCAATAGCAAATCAAGAAAATCATAAACCATGTCCAAGAGGAGTTTACACAAAAATGCAAGTATGGTTAAATATTAGAAAACCTATTAATAAAATCTAACATATTATTAGGTCTGAGCAGAGAAGATAAATTATTCCACTAGACGCTGAAAAGACCTTTGGAAAAAAATTAAAATCCATTCCTAATAAAAAAAAAAAACTTCCAAGAAAATTAAAATGGGTAGGTATTTCCTTAATGTGATATACACACAAACCTCAATTCTAAAGCCAGCATTTTATTTAACTGGGGAACCTTAGAGGCAGTCCCACTAAGGTCAGAAACAAAGCAAGGATGTCTACTATCTCCACTACTATTTAACATGGTTCTGAACCAATGTAAACACTAAAACAAATGAAAACAGAAGCAAAATAGGAAAAGAAGAAATAAAACTATTTGTAGATGACAAGACAGCATACTTGGAAAACCCTAGAGAATGTATCACAAATTTAATAAAATAATTTAACGAAGTAGCAGGATATAAAATTAGCAATGAAAATTCAACAGAATTCACATACACAAATAATAACCAGTTAAAAGATATTATGAATGGGAAAATCCCATTTATAACATGAACAAAATAGAGAAAACTTTTAAGAATAAACTTAAGAAATGTCCAAAACCTATACAAAGAAAATTAGAAAACATTCCTAGAAGACACTAAACTAGACTTGAACAAATGCAAAGACATACCTTGTTGTTCGTTAGGATGTCCTAACATCAAGATTTCACTATCAATGAATAAATTTAAAGTGACCTGATAAAAATTCCAGCGAGGTGTTTCCCAGAGCCTAAGGTTCATATGGAAAAATAAACGACAAAAACAGCTAGGAAAAATGTGAAACAGAAAAGATCTGACGGGGGGACCACAACTACCAGATACTGCAAAGCCTCTATAATTAAAAAGGTATGGCATTGGCTCATGAAGATAGAAAGACAGAGCAATGGAACAAACAAGAAATTCCAGAAATAAACCCAACTAAATCTGAAACTCTAGTCTGGAATCTCAAGTCACTGAGGCAAAGACTGTCTTTTTAGTGAATGGATTTTGGACAACTGGATAGCCAACTGGGAAAAGATAATTCATACCATACAGAAGCATCAACTAAAAATGGATTAGAGAGCTAAATGTAAAAAATAACATAAAAACTAGAAGAAAATACGAACTCTCCTATAGCCTCAGTATAGGAAAAGGCTTTCTAATTTTAACTCAAAAATCCAAAAGCAATAGAAGACTGAAATATCTGACTATATAAAAATAAACTTTTGCACGGCAAAAAATAACACAGGCAAAGCTAAAAGGCAAACAACAAACTGGAAGAAAAGATGTGCACCATATAACACAGCTGAAGGCCTTATATCCCGACTGTACAAGGAGCTCTTAGACTGTGGGGTCATCAAAATCTTCAAGAGTAACAGGCAACACACAAGAACAGACAACTTGCAAAAAGGGGTAAAAAACGACCCCTAAACACAGGAAAAAATGACCAGCTTCACTCAAAAGAGAAAAGAAAATTAGACTACACTGAGATAACATTTTTCACTCATAAGACAGGCAAAAATCAAAAGCTGAACATGACAGCCTGTTGGCAAGGATGTAGAAAAGAAGTTCTCTCACGCATGAGTGGTGGCAAAAGGAACAGCCACAAGTCCCATGAAAAGGAATTTGACGATACCTAACAAAATTACATACGCGTTTACCCCCCTGAGCCAGTAATCCTACTACTAGAAATTTATTCTAGAGATTCACTCCCAGCAATTCAAAAACCCATATGCACAAAGTTATTGACTACAGAATCACTTCTAATGTAAAATATTGGAAACTACCTAAATATTCAAGCATACGACATTGACTGAAAAACTATGGTTCAAATAAACAGAAGAAAGAAAGAAAGAAAGAGAGAGAGAGAGAGAGAGAGAGAGAGAGAGAGAGGAAGAAAGGGAGTAAGAGAAAGAACGAAAGAGAGGGAGGAAGGAAGGAAGGAAGCGAGGAAGGAAGGGAGGAAGAGGAATGAGGAAGATCTCTATGAACTGATATGAAGTGACTTCCAGATTTTAAGTTAAAAAAAAAAAAGCAACATGCAAAAGAGCACATATGCTACCTTCAGTGTAGAAAAGGGAAACAAAAATATATTTGCTTATCATTACAAAAAAATACAGGAAGGAGGAATCAGAAATTTTTGAAAGCGTGTTAATATCCTATGTATTTTTAAAAATTAAATCACTAAGAAAAGAATGGGGAATTTTAAAAAAAACCAAAATCTTCAAGAATAACAGGCAAAACAAGGATTCTTACTATACGAGAATGGATATGTAAGAATGTGAGAAGGCAAAGAACTCAGCAGGA